ACGGTCAGCTGAGCTCCCTGTGCACTATGGCCTTCCTCTGGTGTCCCCTCTAGGTCTCCTCACGCTGTTGAAGACCATCTGGGAGACCAAACTGAGCTACACCTAGCTGCGTTGGGGTGAGACACCTGGTGTGTCACCACCATCAGCTGCGTTTGCCAGACTGGCTGGTTGTCAGCTGGTTGTGCCAGGCAAATCTTAATCAAGAGCCAGGATCTGCCTGAAGATGTGGGGGATTTGTCTGAATACCGCCTTTCGTCAAACCTCAGAATTTTTTCTGGGGCTGTGGGGAGCAGCATTTACTGCTCCTTTGGAGCCCCATTCAGCAGCGGGATTTTTATTTCATACCTCTGCTGTGCAAAAGGAGACCACCTGGTCCTCCTGGGCTCTGGATCTCTCCACCCATAGTCTGCTTGCCCGTGCTCTCATGAGGTATCGTGGTATGAGGCTTATCACTGAACCTCTCAGCTTCTGCCCAGGCTTCTTCTCAGTGAGCCATGGCAGCAATCTTGAGTGGTTGCCCCCCATCCCTTCTGTCCACCTGAGGACCAGCGCTTCTCACAGCCTGGTGCAGGGGAGCAGTGTGGGGTGCACTGGATCGCTGGGTCCAGCCTTCTGCTTCTTTCACCCCAGACTCTGGGCTTGATACCTGGCTGCAGGGAAATTAGTGCCAGCCTTCCCATCGGTGTCAGTAGGGCCAACATTTCACCCCATAGGGAGGACTGAGTCCTTTGTATGTATTAGATGAATACAACAATTTCAACTGCATTTCTACCCCAGTAGCCAAATGCATACGTCTTTCTATCACAGAACAGTTATGCCATTTCTGTATTTTCACTATGCCTGGTCGCCGAAGACTTGCGTGAAGAGAGGCAAGGTGAAGAGATGGTCCAAGGACATAACAAACAGGCAACATAAAGAAATCCAGCATCAAGCATAATACCACCAACCAAAAAGCAAACAAAAATACTGTTGAAAGCAATGAAGGGAAATACACCCCTCCCAAAAAATAGCCTTCCAGAGTGCCGTCCCATCTGCATTGTTCTGTGGCTTCATTTTGAAATGTGCACTTCGAGTGATCCCAGCACTGTAGCTACTCCCTATATCTATCATTTTCCCCTCATTATTTTAATTCTTTTCTCAATCTGTTTTGGAGTTGGCCCAATAAGGATGAGCAAATCCTTCTCTATGTCTTTGAGCTCTTAATTGATATTTCTTCAACTCTTTTCAAAGCAGCTATTTTGGCATCTAGAAAAGATTTGGTGTCATCTGAGTGGTAGAAAATATATTTTAATCTTTCACAGCAGTGTTGTTTCTAAGATGTAGCATTTGGGGTAACAGATGGGGTGGCAAAGAAGTTGCCTATAGGGGCAGTGCTCTGCCTCAACTACTCTCCCGCCCGCTGCAGGAACTTTTCAATTAAACGATGAAAGATTTTGCAGCTTGATGCATTCCAGAGCTGCGTCTTAGCAATTGTTTAGCACCCAAATTTCCATGTAAATATTGACGGTTTTGCAGCATTTTGAAAAGCAATCTACAAGAATATTCCTGTTCTCGCTAGCGCCTTCCCCGAAGGCAGAGGCGCGGCTCCACTTCGGCTGTCCCGGGATGTTCACCGGAGCCGTCCCCTCACAGGGAAGGGGTCCTCCTCGGGAGCACGGACGTTGCACCACAAGCCACGTGTCACCAGGCCCTCAGGACTGACAGACAGAAATAGTCTGAGGTTTCTGGATGTGTAAAGAAACCCTGCTCGTGAGCAGAGCTTCCCTTTGCTTCGATGCCGAGGAGGTGGGCGATGGCAGAGCGCGTCGCCAGCGGTACGCAATAAGGACGATGGGAAACGTCCCTTTCTGATACTGCGGAGCTGCCTTCCTCCGTCTGCAGGACGTTCCTACCTGCCAGATGCAAGAGAAGTCATTATTCAGTGTAATCCTCCATGCTCTCCCCCAGATCAGTCCTCTTGCTCCTGGCCGAATGTACAATCCCATCCCCAAAATGAGATTACTGTTTCACGCTGTTTAAATAACCAAACCTTTGTCGTCTCTTAAAGGTGTAAGTCGTCTTTTTTTTTTTTTCTTTTTTTTCTTTTTTTGCTAGGCACTGACATGAACTGGCCTAACTTTTCAGCATTTTAAATGACATTTCCCTTTAATGATAGCATAATATGTTTTTATTAACAGTTGCACTGAGTGTATGCTGTGTTTGGGTGATGGTATACAGACTGTATTGTTTAAGAGTGACCTCTCTCCTTTTTCCTTAACGTAGCCTTAGGTTTGTATTTCTTTTATTAGAACAGTTGACCACTACACCTCCAAATCTGATAGCTTTTGCATTTAATAACTTATATTTAAAATCAAGTCTCTTTATTTCTAAACAGGGCTGGTTTAGTCCTGGCCAGGTCTTTGTGCTAGATGAGTATTGTGCACGTAATGGAGTGAGAGGCTGTCACAGACATCTCTGCTACCTCAGAGATTTGCTAGAGCGCGCAGAAAACGGAGCTATGATTGACCCCACCTTGCTTCACTACAGCTTTGCCTTTTGTGCATCACATGTTCATGGCAACAGGTAAGGAATTCTTCTTGGCTAGCAGCTCCCTGCCAGCAAGGGATGACTTTGTCAAATATAGGTTTCCTTGGATAATGCACAACAGTCCCCAATTTGTTTTCACAGTGGATGTTTGGCAGCAGCGCTTCTAGTGGCATAGTCGGTTTGTTTGTTTGTTTCGTTGCTTGTTTAATGTAAGCAATAAAAATGCACGTAGAGGATCCAGAAATGAGGGGTTTTAACTTTCTTACCCAGGCACCTGCCTGATGCAGTTCTGGATGAGATAGAGTTGAAGTACGTGTGACTGCCACAGGTTGAATAAATAGAAGTAAACGATACACTGTGCTGATTTAATTGCTGTGCAAGAGGATCTGACAAGTTGCAGCAGTATCAAACTTCAGTGTTCAGAGGGGCTTTAAGCCCTCGGGCACCCATTTAAAGTCCGTGTGACATCAGTTGGGAAATTGCTTAGACATAACTGAAAATTTTGTCTTGCTCTGTTGCAACGCAATTTCAATTTCAGAAGTAGCCCATTCCTTTCCCTCAAATGTGGCAAATCTTTGGTAGGAGGAACTGGAGCTGTGCTTTTTCCTTTTCTATTTATTTTGTTGACAGCTGTAGCATCTATTGCAGCTTCTTTTTCTGTATTTTTTCTGTTAAGTTGCATTATATACTTTAAGATACCACTCTCTATACCGCATATGCTGCTGAAGAAAGGAATGTTGTAAAATAATCATGTGTTTTCATAAACCCACTGGTAAATACCATCCGAGTTATGACACACATTGCCCAGGTTTCACGTTGCAAGGCTGCCGCTTGCTTTTGCAGTTACTTTCATACATCTTGTCATGGAAACCGAGTTTTTGCTTCCTTAGTTTCTTTTTTAGATCTGACTTTCTTTTGCTCTTTCATTCCTTCTTTGCCAATTGTTATTTGATTTCAGTTGTTTGCTTTCAGTTTAGTTTCCTTTTGTTTTACTTTGAGTTTTTTCATGCTTTCTTCTTGTTTCTTTCACTTTTGCTGCTGGCCTTGCCCCCTGCGTTTCAATCACTCCCCAAAGCCAACACATGGCAGAATTACTTGGTGGGTCACAGCCAAGTGCAGACGGCGAGGGGGGCAAAGTGTCTCATGCCTCTGCCGCTGAAGCGGAAACAAAAAAGGATTCCAAAAAGGAGTCCAAAAAAAGGAAAGATTCCAAATCCCAGCCGAATCCAGAGCCGAAAAGGTAAGCGAAAGTGTGCAGTGCACAGAAGTGTGTTGTAGAGGGCACCGGGCTCCTGGGTCACTGAGCGCACTGGGCAGTTTGGGTCCCTGTGGCGCGGGGAGACCCCGCTGTGGCACTGGCATTCGGGTCGTACACTCTCCAGGGAGTTGGATGGCATTTGGGCACCCAAGTCCCTTAGCCGGTCAGGGCATTGAGTTTTTTAGGCATATGCTTAGGAGATGGCTGACACGGGTGGTAGGGATGGAGACTGGGCCGGGCAAACTGGCTGCGCCCGTCACTCCTCTCCCACAGGCAGGGCTCATCCCGGCAGGAGGCTGTTTTGGGGACAGGACCTGGCTCAAAGCCTGTTTGGCCCCTAATGGAGAGGAGGTTGGATGCAGGTCACAGCTACGCTGTGTACAACTTCACAGGGTCCAGCATAGCCAGAACCAGAGCCTCCTCTTCATCGTGGTCGGCGGCAAGAGGTATCTGACGGGACTGGCTATGGTGACACCCTGGCATTCCCTCCCCGTGGGGCTGAAGAGTTGTGGGCTCAGGAAAACGTCTTGCTTTAAAGCCCATGCGGTGTGTAGACCCCAGTCCCATGCCTGTACAGCTGCCCAGGGCTGCCTGTGGCTGGGGCCCCCCCCCCCGAGGCCCCTGGGCGCCGCT